CTTTGAAACTGAAGGCTCCCCTTCAAAGGCCACAAAGGGGACAGAATCTTAAATGTCGATAGAGGATTATGGAGATCAAAAGGAGGAGGGCTGGATCAAATTTCACCACCGGTCAATTATTCGTTTCTCACCCCTTTTGGAAACATTCACATTTGAAGTACAGCCGCCTTCCACAAATAGCATCTAAAGACTCTGAGGACAGAATTGGGGTTCTGTGTATAAACGATTTGATGCGCATGTGGGCTTCCCTTATCGAGGAGATATCAGCCGCATACTTCTCTAACATTCCATCCTTTGCTTCCATGTTTTTACCAACCAACGCTGATTACTTACTTCTATAACCAGCTGAAAACACATCAAACAACTCCATATAACTTACCCAGACGAGTAAAAGCTATGTACATGTCCATCATTTGTCTTTCTTATTCCAGCAAAATAAAGCATTATGTGGTCTTTGAACCAGTTACCATAATCACTCTCCACATTCCTTTCCGATGTCAATACTAAACAAATATACATCAATATTTATTAGATTATCATGATTACCGTGTCCGCAAAACACAAATTTCTACCACGCCATCGCTAATAAAATATATAATTTAATGGATGCAACCACAGCATACCAGTTACCCACAGATACCAGGTGAAAATTAACAAGAACACAATACCAATAGTCATTACAGATTTACAGTTTGAAAACAAGCCAAAAGTGGGAAATGATGCAGGTTTTGGCTCATATCCTCTTCAAGTAAACCAGAAAGCAATACTAAAACAATTAAATATACAAGACCGAACCGAAGAAGTGAGCTAATAAAAGGAATATTAGAGAAACAAAAATCGCCACAGACAAATAAAAAGAAATCAATTAATCACGTTTGTTTAATTTCACTTACTATTCCTCAATTTTTCTTTAGTTTGTTAACAGGCCAAGAAATATCATAATCTTGAAGAACATGTGTGAAATGCCATTCTTCTTTTCTTCAAATAAATTACATGATTCCAAACTTACAGCAATCGAATAACCTGATTTGCAGACAGTGCGGCGCAGCTTTGCTGTTCTCCGTTCTTTTGATTCACTCTCCTTTGCGAAGGTAGTGTTTGGAAGAAATGAAAATATGAAGTCAAACCCATATCTTAGATTTTACAGTAAAATGGATACACAATAAAATTCTTCCGGTAACAACCAAATTCGAAATCTGTTTATAATATATTTAAAACCAAATATTATAATTTACAGTTTTTAAAAAATTACTTTTTTTAAAAAAATGACATCACTTATGCTTCTTTAAAATAATATTACTTTATACAGTTATTTTTAATAAATATTAAATAATTTTATGTTAAAAATATTTTTAATAAATATAATCGTTTAATTTTTAGCTATAACTATTACAATTTAAAAACATTTTTATAATTAAATAAAATTAAAAAATATTTTTAATATGTTCAAAATAAAAAATAATAATATGTAACTTTTAAAAAATAATTTTAATTTTTACTGAAAATTTACTTATAAGATTTTAAAAATTATTTTTTATGAAACTCAATTTTTATTTTTTTAAAATGACATCACTTCTTATAATTA